AATGTTGTCAACAGTATCGTCACTATCAGTAATAAGGGGACAATTTTTTCACGCATCAGAGTAATTAATTTCTAAAATTTCGAAAAACCCGAAATCGGCCCAAAATTATCTAGTACATCCACTGATTTGATGTGACCTGATGAATAATATAATATACATTTACAAGGCAGTCACAGAACACTGGTTTTCTTAATGAAATATCATTTTTTTAAATTTTTTGTTGAAGTCTACCTAATTGTATTGAATAACAAATGTAATGAACATTTTTTAATAAAGTCAACTGAAAATGTTTCCGAAATGTCAAAAATACACTGAATGATCGAAGACTGATAAACTTGGACGATATTTAAAAAAAATATATCCGCTCACCTTATACATTTTTTGTTGGAATAAACAAATATTGCCCTTTCCATTCATTATAATATAATTATAACTAAGTACCTGATAATAAGGGAAATGTTCCACAGAAATCTCTGCTATAATTCAATCACAAGTAATACCAGTCAGACGAACTCGACAGACCCAGTCAGCACATTCTTTCTTTGTTAACTTTGAAATATGTTGAACTACCCTCTCCCTATACAAGTCAACAGAAAGGAAAAAACCATAGGGAATTGGCCCACAGTGGGATTTGCCTGAAATTCACATATGTTATTGGTATGGAGTTTCTGATCAAATGTTTTCATGTGACCAATCTTCTAAGACCAAAGATTCAGCTCTCAGGGCCGTATTTAGTATAGGTGCCAAATAACCAATTACACTTTTTTTTTCAAGCCCATGATTTTTGTATCCCCCATTATAATTTAATTGAATGAGAAATGTTGCATTTGTCTTTCAGCACAAGTCCTCTGTGAAACATGCCTTATCCTACAGGACCGTATTTAGTAAAACTATATTTGCCAAAGTGCCGAATCAAATTGATATTGTTATTACTTTCTTATTTCTTGTCCTATTTCAGTGGTCGTTTAATAGATGAATGTAGATTTCATTGTGTACATAACAAAAGTGGTCACCATCTTGATATTGAAGATGGTCGGCCTAACATTTGATCTTTATGTAGGACATATCTCGTAGCTTTTCAGGAATGATAGTAACAGGAAAAGATAAGAACACGTTTTGATTGTTGAAATCGGTCATTTACTTTTTCAGTTACCTAACTCTATAATATGGAATAACTCTACTATCTAATTGAAACTTTATCTAATTCATTACTAACAAAGTTGAAACCGATATTTACAGGGTGGTGAACAAAAAAGTCGAGCACTCACTATCAACATAATTCCCGAACACTTACAGCTGCTGGAGTATTGCATCTTGCACTGGACGATTTGCGGCATCTTTAATATGCCTGTAACACAGAAGTCGATGGATAATTCACATTTTGATTATAGCGGGCAAATCCTAAATACCACAATATGCTACAAATAGTGTCCTTACCCTTGATTTGCAACTGCAAATACCACTGAAATAGGACAAGAAATAAGAAATTAATTACAAAATCAATTCGATTCGGCACTTTGGCAAATACAGTTTTACTAAATACGGTCCTGTAGGACAAGGCATGTTTTACAGAGGACTTGTGCTGAAAGACAAATGCCAAGATTTCGCAACATTTCTCATTCAATTAAATTATAATGGGAGATACAAAAATCATGGGCTTGAAAAAAAAAGTGTCATTGGTTATTTGGCATCACCTATACTAAATACGGCCCTGAGAGCTATGTCTTTGGTCTTAGAAGATTGGTCACATGAAAATATTTGATCAGAAACTCCATACCAATAACATATGTGAATTTCAGGCGAATCCCACTGTGGGCCAATTCCCTATGGTTTTGTGCGGGGTCCTTTTGTCAAATCAGGCAAAATACTGATCTGAACACCTAATTAACTTGATTTTCATTTTCTGTAGACAATAAAATGATAACAATGTGATGACAATAACCAGTAGTTGTAGAAAGAATAGTACCTTGTGCATCCCACGAGTACCTACCCAGCAAACATTTTGATATGGGTACAACATAATCGACACATTGAGTTGCCCATAGCAAGCCCAGCATATACATGAATGATGGGACTGTAATGGCCAATTAACGACATTGATTACATATTAACGAGGTAGGGGGAGGGGTAGGAGGAGGGGTAGAGGAAGGGTTAGGGGTTTCAGGGGTCCAATTGATCTGGAAGTTCTAGTAACTCAATATATTTTTCAATGTTTATCATCATATTATATCAAATAGACACATACCAGATTTCAAGGAAACAATTTATAAATGACACAATGATATCTTCTCAACCTCTCTCTTCATCCATGATAAAACTTCTCAGAGTGACTGCTTACCGGCTGGTATATCTACATCTTCATCTTATTTGGGAAGCATTCCTCCAAAATAGATTCTTCGTTGCGAGGTAGGTACTCCTGAAATATAAAATTCTTCATAAGTTATCGTGAAGTGGCCTTTCTTGATGTCAGAATTCTTTCTTCATAGAAGTATGAGAAACAAAATACTCTGTTACGTGAGTTTATAACTTGATCAATATATAGTCTGATTACGTGATATATACTTATGGAGGCACAGGCCTTATTTGTTATTCACTTCAATGATAGAGACAGGTTTCCATAACCAAATATTACTTTTGATAGTCACAAACCAAGCAGTCCATGATAGTTACGCTTCTGGAGAGGTAGGAGCCACTACAATTATTATCATCACAAACACATGCATTTCATAACAAAATTTGGAACACTAGATAGGTAGATTGATACTTACTCAATACATATTATCATCATTGAAGAATCCATCTTCTATATTATCAATCGAGAATACTCCTGCCACCATAACTGCCATTATAACAACCAGAGGAAAACAAAACATACGCTTTCACTAGAGTTACATATAATAATTATCCAAATGATCAGCTGATTGTTGATGTAGACGTTTCCAGAAAATTCCCAGTGGGACGAGTAGTGAACAGGATATTGGCCAGCAAGGGGCCACAACTCGTTAGTGCTCAACTCGTTCTATACATCATACCATCACAAGGCCATCATCGTATTTTCAACTGATGGTTACTTAGCATAGAGAAATCATCGGCCATTACCAATACACCGGCATCGACAATTTCTCACACTTGCCTGCACTAGGCCGGAATTCTCCCGGTAGTTCAATGTTTGCTGAGTAAATATATCCTAATCGTAAGAATTGTGAAAAAAGTTATTCAAAATTAACAGGACTCACCTTTCTCAAATATGTTAGGTTTTGTATCCCATTGATCTGGCACAATTTCACAAATAGGTAGGAATTCTACGAGCCACAGAAACACAAAACACGACCCAGCCCTTTCAACTTTTCATCAACAACTGAACGAATAGAAATAAAATAAAACGGCAAATGAAAAATTCACCGCGTATTATGAAACCTTTTCATAGTAATAATGTTTGGCGTGATTGATCCATGGGTAGGCAGCATTAATTTGGCGCCTGTTTTGGAAGTAGATGTTTCATTTCATTGAATCAACGTTTAGTGTTCATTGAAACAATGAAGAACATTCATTATTTTCTTATGTTTGTTGTTGATAGATCTATGACGAACAGTTTATTGCTCCAATGATGAAAAACATAGATCAATAAACATCAAACGTTGATTCAATGAATTTTTTCATCACATGAATAAAAAAAATTATTAACTTTTGATGTTTTTCGTTCATTGTTCAATGTTGGCTCGTTCATTGTTTCAGTGTCTTGCGGTATGAACCCATCATCAGAAATGATTGTAATAATCATCGATTCGTAATATTAATGTTCAAAAAATTGACGACCGCGGTTCATTATTTTACGTACAAATTTATTTTCTGTGCATATTCGAATTTCGTGTAATTTTCTGAATCCAATGATACCGCATACCATTGACATTTCATACTTTAATATGTATCGATTTCAATTTCATATTCGATTTTTCATCTCATATAGTATACCCTGACTATTCTGATCGAGGGTGATGTACTCATATCGACAGGAGTAATGCTTAGAAAAATTTGATTTTGCCAATAACGTCAGATTTCTTGATAATCGCCTTATGAAGTTCATCAGAATATTTTGGTGCACCTACCATGATCCTGATACACTTGGTATATATTTATATAATCCAATTCGAAATTATCAACAGAGAATAATTACTTCCCTGCCTATTTGCCTAGCAAAATATTGAACACTTATGATTAGTTTATGGAAATCCAAATCTCTAGAGATTGAGAATTCATATTATCTTTCAGATCTGATACATAATGTGTTAAATGATATAAAAATATAACCTATCGATATTAGGAATATTTGAGGATAGAAATAGTTTATGAATAGGGATAACTGACCTATTCCATATGTATACTTTAGTGATATAGGATTATTGTCAACACGTGAACTCAACCATGACGGGCATTCATTTCGCGGTGAGTGTCTTTCACGTTTAGGTGGGCGTATCTGGTGAATGAGCAACACACAAGAATAGGATATTCAGTATTCATCATCTAAAAATGCTAACATAGATGAACGAACACGTATTGAGGTATATAGAAATTCGGTTGGGTTAGTGGTAGTAGATTATGATTCCAGTCTTCGATATAGGTATCAAATGATTGCTCTTTTATTCCTGTATGAATTGTATGAGCTGAAGGTTAGGTCTCCATGATTTTAGCATCGCTTTACACGGTATAGTGATCGTTTTGAGATTATTTCCATTTGCTACTTACCATCTACTTACCGTTGTGAACTTTGGCCGATATGAATATCATTATTTCAACAAAGAATGTTATCTTTCGAGAAACCAATGAAGTTCCCAACTTATATGCACTATCTACTTAGTTCTTTCTCATTTTCAATGATATGAAATATATTCTGGGATCAAAAAAATAATTATGTACCTAATCTCCATTACCTCGTTGTACCTGGATGCCAGCACCTGTCAACTCAAATATTAATCAATATCTCATATCAATAAGAGGCCAATTTAGAAAGTAGATTTTTAATAGCACCCACTGCACTAATTATAATGCCAAATCAGAAATATTGAATGATCACAAATCGGCTTTCAAATTATAAAATGTGTTAATTTGGTTTTCCGGTCGTATCTGAATCCATTCTCTTATGGCCGAAACAGCTAACACATTTTTTCTGACTTCCAGCAGGTTTGGGTAATCAGCTATGATATCTCTTTCAACGAAATTTGCGGCATCTTCATACAAACAAACGAAGATTATGTCAGCCCAAGTTAACTGGAATAAATAGATAATGTTAATATGGAAAAAGTACAAATTCATTTCCAAACCATGGCTTAATTATCCTTATATACAGTTTCTCCAAGCTGCTTCAACCCAATAAATTTAATGTTCTCCTGATGATTACTTCATTTCATTCGATATTTTCCAAAATCGATTCAAGCAAATCGCTAAGTGAATACAAGATTTTTGTATGTACCTATATTCTCATTGATAAAGAGTAACGAAAAGATTAACTCACGATCTAAGTAAGAGTGTAAAACAACTCTTACTTCTCATTCTTTTCAGAACCAATGAAGTTAGGTAATATGCGATGATATGCTTTTCGAAAAAGAGATGATGATGATGGTCCTTGATAACTATGACAACTGAACCACAACGAAAATAATATAATATTCCCCTAAATATTTCGACGTTAGCAAGTGAATCGCATGGTGGATAAAGAATCTCTGATGTATATACATTCTCACTGATAAAGAGATTCCGAAAGATGAAATCCCTAATATTCAGTCCTCATATTGTGAGTCGATGAATTCAGATTCAGATTCAGATTTCATGAGACACAATAAATTAGTTCGTTGAGAGGACCGCGAAATCGCTAGTTTTAGAGACCTACTCAATATTTCGAAATGACTCAATAGGACCTGCACATATTGATGTGTCATATGATTTTACATGAAAAATTATAATTCACAACACGATACATTGGCCGTGAGAAAAGTTATGAGGAAAATCAAGAAATAATTGGAATTGTCAATGTTTGAAATGTAATTGTTGTAACAACTGATATAATCAAGATATCTGAACTATTCTCGCAGTGTTTGATAGTCCTATGTATGAACTGAATAACGGTCTATTCAATTCTTCATGATTTTCCGAAATATCTTCGAAAAATAACATAATTCGATTCACTTTCCGGAATTCCAATAGAATGTTCTTCATTCTTCTCGTTGTGGGTCGAACATATCTTTCATCCGATTGAAATATTTCTCACACCATAAACTGCAGAAATCTCTAGTGAACATTTCGTTGCACCTATCTATTGATTTCAAGTTGAATGGTCAGTCAGCTACAGGCAATCAACCCTCTGCGCCTTGATACAGCATACTTATAAGCAGTTAGCCGAAATAATTACACGAAATATAATTCCATTCACCTCTTTGATAAAATAAATTAGAAAATCAAACATCTTCATCAGATGTACCTACCAGTTTCTTGGAGATGGACATTTTTTTATGTCCATTTCAACCCATCACATTTTTCCACATATCTTATCCATGTATCCACAATAACTATAGCCTTGAGAGAAATTTATTGCCAAGCTTCAAAGAAGAGCCAAATTCGTCGAAAAAAGAATCATTGCCTTTGAATGTATGACGAATTGATATTCATCATACAGGACGTGTAAATAAATTCTGAATTGGAAAAACCAAATCACGAGTCTGCGATTGATGGTCTAAAATTATAACAAGTTTCGATCGTACAAGTTTGAACCCCTTGATTGGGTGAAAGTATTGAAATGGAATATTCTCAGATGAATTATTAAAATGAAAAAATTGATTTGAATATAAAGAGATACATTGAGAATTCACATTCTCTACCCATATAGCACTCGACGTCCTGAGGACGACCAGTTTAGGCCAATTTAGGTCTGAACGTCCGGGACCTTTTCAAGGCGTACTGAAAACGTCCGTTTCTGGACGCACTGGGTACGTACGATCACGATGTACTGGGTACGTCTAACTCTGGACTTTATCGTCTTTCAAGGGACGAGATTGAATAAAACTATATATATAATGATAATTGAAATCATTGCACATAATTCATTCTACCCTCGATCTGTGATATCTATTCATTCAGGAACCATGCAAACATGAACAAAATACATTCCTCACAATTCTTTTTTACTGGCTGTACCTGATCACAAAACATCTATTTAGGTATTCTCTGCCATGATCATCTAATTCTATGAAAGTATCGATGTGGATAAGGATCAATCAACATTAGCACATAATGTCTTGTTTGTATACTGGCATATAATCAAGTCTTCTGTAGAGTAATAGGTAGAGCATAATCAGAAGGTCGTTGGATCGATCCCCGGTAGGAGCACTTTTTCTTATTTTTCTAGTCGAAATAATATTTTTTTACCCTATCTAGGTCTCTATTTTAACTATCTGAGTAAAAAAAGGTGGATCTACGTTGATTCAGGTATGAATGGTCCCGTTCAGACCTGAATAGGACCTTTATCATACGTCCTGGGGACCTCTGATTGTGTAACATCGTATGACCCCAAAACGTCCTGAAAACGTACGCCGTACCTAAAATGGACGTTCTGGGGATGTTTCCAATGTCCGAGGTGTACGGTTTTCGGGACGGTTCTGTGATATCTGGGTATGTGATGAAAATATCAATTCTTTCTTTGGTGTATTCAGAAGAAAACGAATACTTTTCTGGCTAAATGCCACGACGAACATTGAATCATATCTATTGAACATGCACGATCAGAAGCAAAATCTTTCGGAGTTGAGTATTGGCATTCTTCTTCAGATGAGAATATGTATATGCATATAATATCATTCTGAATATTCAATAGAAAAACCACTTTCCTGGTTATTTGCGACGTCGAACATTAAAATACTCTGAATTTGAGAATTGACAATTTCTCCCAATTCTGAAAGATCAGGAAAAACGCCCCCAGTGTGGTTTCTCAATCAGTAGGGCACACTATATATATTTATGTTCATAATTCATCTGAGAATATTCTTTTTTAAGACTTTCACTCAATCAAGTGATTCAAGAATGATAGAAACTCGTTATTTCATTAGACCTTCAATCGCAGATTAGTGAATAGGTTCTCTCAATTCAGAATTTTTTTCCACGTCCAGTATGATTAATATGGAATTGTTTTACACCCAAAAACTTGATATAGTCCTCACAAATAATTTAGCTCCTTACTCTGTAGATGTACATTGCACGCGTTTCACTAGGCAATTCTGATCGAACACTCATCTCCACAACGTGTCCATTCTTCATTACATAAACTGGTTGAATGACATTATGATTGAGGTACGAAGGCGCTGAAGGGCCACCTATGCTATTTTTTTTCGAATCCCGACTTTAAAGTCGGACCCCCGACTTTAAAGTCGGGGGTCCGAGATTAAAGTCGGGGGTCCGACTTTAGAGTCGGGGGTCCGAGATTAAAGTCGGGGGTCCGACTTTAAAGTCGGGGGTCCGAGATTAAAGTCGGGGGTCCGACTTTAAAGTCGGGGGTCCGAGATTAAAGTCGGGGGTCCGACTTTAAAGTCGGGGGTCCGAGATTAAAGTCGGGGGTCCGACTTTAAAGTCGGGGGTCCGAGATTAAAGTCGGGGGTTCGACTTTAAAGTCGGGGGTCCGAGATTAAAGTCGGGGGTCCGAGATTAATGTCGGGGGTCCGAGATTAAAGTCGGGGGTCCGAGATTAAAGTCGGGGGTCCGACTTTAAAGTCGGGGGTCCGAGATTAAAGTCGGGGGTCCGACTTTAAAGTCGGGGGTCCGAGATTAAAGTCGGGGGTCCGACTTTAAAGTCGGGGGTCCGAGATTAAAGTCGGGGGTCCGACTTTAAAGTCGGGGGTCCGAGATTAAAGTCGGGGGTCCGAGATTAAAGTCGGGGGTCCGACTTTAAAGTCGGGGGTCCGAGATTAAAGTCGGGGGTTCGACTTTAAAGTCGGGGGTCCGAGATTAAAGTCGGGGGTCCGACTTTAATCTCGGACTTCATGGATAAGTCCGAAACGGGTGTTCTCAGACCCATTCTATGATATCATATATCATTGAATTCGTCTTTCTTTGCTCTATCCAAGAATGAAATTGAATACATTCGAAAATTCCGAGAAGATGATCGGTTTGCAAAATACGTCATCACTTTTGTTTGATTCGAATATCCCCAATATTGACAAAATATCAATATAACATATACAGGGTGATCCACAGTGGATGGCCTATTAGAAGTATCTGGAGATCGAAAAGACAGAACATTCTGAAAATTGGGATTCTTCGATAATTTAACATTTTCTATCCGTCTAAGATATTTTCATCAATACAGTGTTGCCACTTCTATCAGAAACAACTAGCAACTTCGCTATTTTGAATGGAGCACCCTGTATTTTATTGCATTTTTAGATCCTTCATAAAGAGCTGATTTCATCGATGCATCACACTTGTGGTCTAGCAGGAATTATTACAGAGATATAGGGTGTTCAAAATCTAGAATTTTGAATTTCAGGATTTTTTTGTGTCGAAACTATTCATTATCGATCAGAATTCTGAATCTTGAAGCACCCTGTATTTGTTCCAATTAAATTCCAGTATTTAGTGAATCAAAAGTTAAGATAGGGACATGTTAGTCGTTTCGATCGATAATGAATAGTTTCGACACAAAAAATCCTGAAATTAAAAGATCTCGATTTTGAACATCATATATCTCTGTAATCATTCCTGCTAGATCCCAAGATTGATGAAATCAGCTCTTCAGGAGAAATCTAATAATGCAATAGAATACAGGGTGCTCCATTCAAAATAGCGAAGTTGCTAGTTGTTTCTTATAGAAGTGGCAACACTGTATCGATGAAAATATTCTAGTGGGATAGAGAATGTTCAATTATCAAAGTATCCCAATTTTCAGAAAGTTCTGTTTTTTCGTTCTCCAGATACTTCTAATAGGCCATCCACCGGGGACCACCCTGTATAATCAGTTAATTCATAATGAAAACTGCGCATTGAAAACTTGATTCTCAACGTTTTCATAAGGCTTAGAAATTTGGCTATTTATTGAAGAAGATTATGAAAATAGTCCGGAAGGGGTGATCTAATACCTACAAATGTAATCATATATCATTAAACTCATATTTCTGAGCTCTACCCAAGGACGGAATGACATTCAGGGTAGTTCATTTGTGAAAATATATGTTTTGTATTGTTATCTTTTTGCACCCTTTAAACAAACAAATGAAATTCTCAGCTAT